AGCCCAGGGTCCTCCCTCACTCTCGCCAGCTGCTCACAGCACCCAGCACTGAATTGCTTCAGTCCCAGCTCCACTCTGCTGCTTCTCTCCTGGCTCTGGTGGCTGCACTCTGCTCCCAACAAAGATGAGCTATCTGGGCTGCTTCTGCGGCCTTCCTCCCAGCCCCATCCTGCTGCCTGGTCTGCTTTCTGTCTCTCTCTGGGGCTCTGTCTATGCTGCAATGCTATTTCGGGATATTGGAGTATCCAAAAATAACTAGCCCAAGTCTTCAGAGCAAGCCTGTTATTTCGGGCTCGCCATTCCAATGTCCCTATAAACCATTCTGCAAGGAGTAAGAGACGTTTCAGAAGAACAGGTTATTTCAAAATTTGGTGCTGTCTATGAAATAAGCTATTTCGAAATGAGATTGAAATAAGATAATGCAATTTGTGTAGCTCAAATTGCATGCCTTATTTTGAGCTACAGTGCAGTGTAGGTGCACTCCGGGGGTACAGCTACACAGCAGAGCTAAAGTCAGAATAAGATACTCAACTTCAGCTATATCAATTGCGTAGCTCAAATCAAAATAGCTTATTCTGGCTTTTGGTGCTGTCTACACAGCAGGAAGTTGAATGAAGAACATTCTATCTTCGACTTCTCTTACTCCTCGTGAAATGAGGGTGTGACGTAGTGGGGGTACTTGCTGGGCTGTGGTGACCCCTGCTGTCTGGGGCAAGACCCAGCAGGGAAAACCTCACTATGCAAAGGTAATGCCAAACTTGTTGAACCAGACACCCCCCATGGAGAGGAACAAAGGAAGGTGGATGCTGCCCTGGGTGGGGGGCAGGGCTGGAGGAGAGTTAGTTAGTTCCTGGCTGGAAGGCAGGGAAGAAGGAGCTGGGGAGGGGGGCTGGGACTCCCCTATCTCAAGGGGGGCACTGGGGCCTCTTAGCCCCAGTTCCTGTAACCAGATTACATCTGTGCTGCACTGTGCTGGAGGAACAATAAACAACCTCCATTCTACTGGCTGGTGAAGTCTGTTCATGCCATTTTGGGGTGCAGGAGACGGGGGACCCCCAACGCGCCGTCACAGAGGGTTACAGGGGTAGGGGTCAGGGGTCCTCCAGCTCAACATTAATAAAGGCTTGTAGTGTAGACATGCTCTTTGTTAGTTTGGAATAATATCAGTTATTCCAAATTAATACTGCTGTGTAGACATAGCCTGGTTGGCCTGGCTCTGCCCACAGCTCAGCTCAGGTCCCTGCTTTCTCCTTAGATCAGCCCCACTCTGTCTGACCCAGACAACTGCAGCTCACATGGGGGACAAAACCCACCCTCATGCATCCTGGCTCCTTCATTAGCCTGCCTGTCTTGTCCATCATGTTGGCCTGCAGCTCTACTCTGCACTGATTAGGCCTCAATTGGAGTACTGTGTCCAGTTTGGGCACCATATTTCAAGAAAGATTTGGAGAAGATCCAGAGAAGAGCAGCAACACTGATTAAAGATCTAGGAGACATGGCCTATGAGGGAACACAGAAAGTATTGGGTTTGTTTAGTTTGGGCGGGGGGGAGGGAGAAGAAGACTGAAGACAGACATAATAGCAGTTTTCAAGTCCCTACGAGGGTTTTACAAGGAGGAGGGGAAAAAATTGTTCTCCTTGTGCTCTCATGATAGGAATGAAGCAATGGGCTTAAATTGCAGCAAGGGAGGTTAGTTTGGACATTAGAAAAACTTCCTGTCAGGATGATTAAACACAGGAATAAATTGCATGGGGAGATTGTGAAATCTCCATCCTTGAAGATATTTAAGAGCAAGTTGGATAGAAATTGATTAGGGATGACCTAGATCAGTGGTCTCCAACCTTTTTACACCCAAGATCACTTTTTAAATCTCAGAACAAGCAAAGATCGACCCCCCATCCTTCCCCCAAGTCTCCCCCCCCATTCTTCTCCTGTCAATCACTTGCTATCCCCAGCCCTTATACACTCTACACTGCCACTTTTTTCCAATTCTTATGTAGGAAGAGGTTTTTCCAACATTTGGCCTGTCTAGATTGGACCAAATGTCAGAAAAACCCCTTCTTTTGGAATCCCCCTTTTTCCTCATGGAACGAGGAATATAGGGGTTACCGAAAGAGCATGTTTGCTCTTCCACTAACAAAAGTGGAAGAACAAATGCATCCCTGGATGTGGAAGAGTTTTTCTGGGATAACTCTGGAATCTTGGAAACTCCTGCAGTCTAGCTGTACCCTCACTAGGTTGAGACAGGATGTGTGGGCTCTGGAGTGGGAATGAGGAATTTGGGTGTGGGAAGGGGTGAGAGGTGCATGATCTGAGAGGAAATTTGGATGCAGGAGGAGGTAGAGAAGGGGATGCTGGCTGGGGAGGGGGAATGTTGGGGTCAGATGGAGAATTGTGGTACTATGCAAGCCACAGGCTTGTGGCTGTGAGGGTGCAGGAATTTGGACGGGGGTATGTGATGGGCCCAGGGCAGGGGGTTCCAGTGTATGATAGGCTCAGATCTAGAGTCTGGGGGGTGCAGGAGTGTTATAATGCTGTGGCCATATGGTGGGTTGTCCCCATTTAGGGGTTTGTTGGCCAGGCTTCATTTTTAAATAAAATACTATGTCAAACACAAAACGTTTCTGCATTGTCTTTATTTATGAGAAGGGCAGGGAACCTGTTATGAGTTAGGGGGCCACAGAAAAGTCAGTGGGGGCCACACAAGGGAGATGCAAAAAAAATCTCCTCCAAACCCCGCCCCCCCCAGTCTCACTAATGTGCCCCAACTGTGCTGGTGGGAGCAGGGGACATGATACTGCAGAAGGGTGCTAGGGCAGGAGACAGAGTGCTGGGGTGGGGGCAGGGTTCTGCAGCAGGGGACAGGGTGCCAGTGGGGGACAAGGGACACGGTTCTGCAGCAGGGGACAGGGTGCCAGTGGGGGCAGGGAGTACCCTGCACCAATCTGTTCCCAGGACTCTCCCCTACCCCCCACCCACAGAAAAGGGAAGCCCCCACACACACTTCCACTGGGGCCAACTCCCCCTCCTGCGGCACAAGGAAGCCCCCATGTGCCTCCTCTGGGGACTCACCCCTCTCCCGCCGCAAGTTCCCAGCCTGCCACAGACCTGAGGGAGGGGAGCACTCAGTGCACTTCTGGAACCCCCAGAAGTTGCGCACAGCTGCAGGACTTCTGTCCACTCCGCAGGAAGCTGGCACTACCTCAATTTTCACTGGAGGCAGGTAGTGGAGCTTCTCGGGGAAGGGGGACGGAAGAGGGGCCAAATGCCTCACGATTGACCGGTCAATCACAATCGACGGGTTGGTGACCACAGAGCTAAGACCGAGATGATGGTTGGTCCTGCTGTGAGGGTAGGGAAGAGGGTGAAACTGATGACCTCCCGAAGTCCCTTCTAGTTCTAGTGTTCTATGGTTTTATGATTCGTCTGTGTGGATTGTATGATGATTGTTAAGATTTGAACACTTACTCAATTTTTTCCCCAAAAGGGTTTCTCCCTGGCATGGATTCTCCTATGTTTAACAAGATATGATCTCCTATTGAAACTTTTCCCACAGTCAGAGCAGCTGAAGGGTTTCTCTCCCGTGTGGATTCTCCCATGTCTAACAAGATCTGACCTATAACAGAAGCTTTTCCTGCAGTCAGAGCAATTGAAATGTTTCACTCCTGTGTGGGTTCTCTTATGTCTAACAAGATGTGAACTCCTACCAAAACTTTTCCCACAGTCAGAGCAGCTGAAGGGTCTCTCCCCTGTGTGGATTCTCCTATGTCTAACAAGGTCTGACCTGTCACGGAAGCTTTTCCCACAGTCAGAGCACTTGAAGCGTTTCTCTCCTGTATGGACTCTGCTATGTCTGTCAAGATCTGACCTCTGATTGAAGCTTTTCCCACAGTCAGAGCAGTAAAAGGGTTTCTCCCCTGTGTGGATTCTCCTATGTTTAATAAGACTTGCGCGCCTACTGAAGCTTTTCCCACAGTTAGAGCATTTGAAAGGCTTCTTTTTTGTGTGGATTCTCTGATGCTCAATAAGAGTTGCACAGTCACTGTAAGCGGAGGGTGCTTCTTGATGAGGGATCATCTGTTGAATGGTTTCTGTGTTTCTTTTCACCCTTCTGCTCCTGCGATGGGATTTATCCCGTCCTTCCACTGGATGGTTTCCCTGCTGCCTGTCTGGGCTATGCTGACTCTTACAGGTTTCTCCCTGCTCAGAACTCTGGGAAACATGTTTTTCAGATCTTCCTAGTAATATCCTATGTGGAGTCACTTGTTCTGGTCCGTCCTGTTGAAGACTCTCCTCATTGTTCTCACTCACCATCCCATCAGCTGCTGGAATAGAGAGAGAATCCAGACAAGAGTCATTCTCTGTGCTGAGCTGAAAGGAAAACTCCGAAAGGGGAACAGAAAAGGGGGAACAGACCCAAATAATGTCTGGAAAGGTTGAATATTCATGAGTGAGTTCATCCTCCTTCCTCATAACCCTTCCCCAGAGGAGACAATCCATCCTCCCCACCCGACTGAAGTTGATCAAGGGCTAAAGGGGCAGTCCAACAATGAAAATGCACAAGTGACACCTGCTACGAGGACACACAAATTGGTTTCTGAGTCCGTTTAACTGATTGCTCACCTATGTGGGTGTCTCTGATGATCTCTCCTTCCTCACAGTCCTGGAGATCTGGGATTGGCAGCTCCTCCCCTCGGTCCACCCAGGAGATCACATGAGCTTTGGAGACTGGAAATCCTGCATGGGGGAGCAATTAACCAAGTGCTATTCTTATGCATTAAGGTTCATGCCATTACTACTTCCAGACCCAGGATCGGACTTGCCCAGTCCGAGAGGCCTCTTTCCCATTTTGCAGAGACTGGGCTTTGAATGATACAGGATCTCATGACACACTCACTTGCAGTAAAGGTGCATCCCCCGCTACCTGGGGGCGCGTAGGAGGGGATTTCCCAAGAGAGCTGAGCACTCTGCTGCACTCTCTAGGGTACAACTAAATCTCCCTCGCAGACCGTTCCATTTCAGGGCAGGACAGGAACACACTGTTCAGAAGGGGAGCTCTAGTGAGGGCTGGCAGGCCTGACACTGAGGTTCACAGGCAGGTGTCAGCTGCAGTCTGAGCCATGGCAGGTCACTGGGACTTGGAGAGAAAGGACCCAGCGGAGCTCTAGTTTCCCAAGGGCTCTGTCCACCAAGTTCCTGGCTGGGGGCCTTGGCTCGCCCTGCTCTTTGACTTGGATGCTCTACTTGATCCAGAAGGAGGCAGAGAAAGTTATCTGAGCTAGGGCTGTGGCTGTACAACATCAACAAGGGGAGTTGTCAACTATACAATTAACAGATCAGGCTTATTGGTTAATCTTGTCAAGTATTTGCATGTTCCCCTGTATCAGAGGCAGTAGCATGGAAGGAGGCTAGGGGAAGCTGCCATCAAGCTGCTTCTGTCCACGGAGGGCTTGAGCTTCCCACGGACACAAGTTGCTATGCATCCCATGGAGCAGCCTCTGTCCATGGGGAGCTGGGACCCCCGGAAGACAAGGGCTGCTGCTGGACAAGCCTCTGTCCGCAGTGGGCACAGGCTCATCTCTGTCTGTGGAAACTTCAGACTCCCTGCGGATGGTCAGGGGCTGCTGCTGGACCAGCCTCTGTCTGCAGCCAACCTGGGTTGCTGCACACAGGGGCTGCTTCATGGGATCCTCCTCTATCGCCTCACTCTCTCCCCTCCCTGCAGCAACTTGGACCTGGTAGCTAAGGCAGCAGTGAGGGGGTGGCAGGCAGTTGGACTGCATGGGGAGCTGGTTTTTAAGCTCTGATACAGAGGCAGCAGCAGAAGGTGACAGGGAGTTCCCAGGAGTGGGGCCACGAGCCAAGACAACCTTGCTGCCCCAGAGCCCAACCAGCCTCTAATACCCAAGGGGACAGGAATCCTTACCCAGCCAGCTTGCAGCCTCATAATTCTCCTGCATCACATCCCAGTAGAGGGCTCTCTGACCAGGGTCCAGCAGAGCCCATTCCTCCTCAGAGAAATACACAGCCACCTCCTCAAAGTTCACCCGCTCCGCCACAGCCATTTCCTGTTCCTGGTTTGTCAGGCCATGGGCTGCACTGGAGCAAGACATTGGTGTTCTGCAGCCTGTCAGGGGGAGAAGGGCAATGGGAGACATTTCAGAAGGGGTTTTAATCCTTTCCACACCCCCATTCTCCCCAGACTCTGACACTAGTGACACACATGCTAGATCCTGCAATACTGGGCAAATGGTTGAGTCTCGATATTCCAAAAAGAGCACACACAAGTCAGATCCCAAATCCACATTTCTTTCTTTCAACACCTGGCCTGAGTTACATCATTCCTGCGCCTGTAACAATAGGATTCGATTCTGAGCACCCGGTGTTTCTGATAAACAAGCCTCATATTCTCTTGCCTGAACATGGATGGATGTAGGTGTTTATATTTAGGCTGCTGTATTTAAAACGCCCTAGTCTTCATCCATTTACTTGTAGCACAGACTTTGATTCTCTCATCTGAGAGAGACTTATAATTTCTCTTGTGGGGAGGGGTTAAGTGATGTTAATACAACTATTCAGATGCTTATTATTAAACATGTTGCTGAGCGTTTGCAATATGAGACCCTAAAATTCATGGGATCAGAAGATATCCTTAGTCATGCAGTCTGACCTCCTCCGTGGCACAAGCCATTATGCTTAACCCAGGCACAAAGCTCTGTTTCCCCAAAGCATGTTTTCTAGAAAGTCACCGTGTGTTGACTTGAAGACATCAAGAGATGGAGAATCCACCAGTTCTTTGCTCATTTGTTTCAGCAGCTAATCATCTTCCCTATCAAACATTTGTGCCTCCTTTCTAGCCTGAAACTGTCTGGCTTCAGCTTTCAGTTATTGGCTCTCACTGAGCTGTATCCACTAGACCAGGGATGGGCAATAATTTTTGATGGGTAGCCAAAATTTTGGAAAGTGATCAAGGGTGGCACTCTTCCATGACATTAATGGAGGAAATGCAGGGTCAGGGATGGAGGCAGGGTGCAGAAGAGAGCTTGGGGTAAGGGCTTGGATGCAGGAGGGAGAGGAGTCTGGGAGGGAATTTGGGTGAAGGAGGCAGTTGTGACCTGGGGCACTAGTCTGGCCAGCTACTCATTAGATTATTGAAACTAACTTTATTTTAGAGAAGTGGCTGAGTGGACAAATAAGGGACTAGGAGTTTCTGACCACTGAGAGCTCTTGCATATATGGATGCAGGAGGAGGGTAGAGGGTTGGGAGGGGAAGGGAGAGGTTGGGGTTCTAGAGACAGGCTCTAGCCAGGACACCTACCTGAGTAACTCTCAGCCAGCAGCCAAGCACGTTTCTCAGGCAGGCAGCCAGGGAGACTGCCCCGCCCTGGCACAGGCTGCAGGGCCACATGCGTGTGATTAACTATGAGCCGGAGAGAAGGGGGATGTGGTGCTTCGTTTCTGACCAGAACCCGGCCAATAGCATAGATTCACAAGGGGCAAGTTGTGCCTGACCAATCTGATTAGCTTCTATGATGAGGTAACTGGCTCTGTGGACGTGGGAAAGTCAGTGGATGTGATATACCTTGACTTTAGCAAGGCTTTTGATACAGTCTCCCACAATACTCTTGCCAGCAAGTTAAGGGAATGTGGATGGATAAATGGACAGTAAGATGGATAGAAAGATGGCTAGAAGGCCGGGCCCAGCGGGTAGTGATCAACGGCTCGATGTCAGGATGGCGGTCAGTTCCCAGCAGAGTGCCCCAATGCTTGGTTCTATGACCGGTTTTGTTCAATATCTTTATTAATGACCTAGATGAGGGGATGGATTGCACCCTCAGCAAGTTTGCAGATGACACTAAGCTATAGGGAGAGGTAGATATGCTGGAGGGCAGAGATGGGGTCCAGAGTGACTTAAACAAATTGGAGGATTGAGCCACAAGAACTCTGATGAGGTTCAACAAGGACAAATGCAGAGTCCTGCACTTGGGACGGAAGAATCCCAAGCATAGTTACAAGCTGGGGACCAATCAGTTAAGTAGTAGTTCTGTAGAAAAGGACCTGGGGGTTAGAGTGGATGAGAAGCTGGATATGAGTCAACAGTGTGTCCTTGTAGCCAAGAAGGCTAATGGCATATTAGGTTGCATTAAGAGGAGCATTGCCAGCAGATCCAGAGA